TCGAAAATAAGAAGCCAGACATAGAGCTTTTACAAGAATTCAAAGATGTATGTTTTTTTGCAGAAAGTCAGGAGGCTGAGATCGATCTATATCACTTAGAAAAACCTGTTGCAGACGCAGTTCAAGCAATAATTAAAAACTATTCACCTGAAATGAAGAAGAAATGTCCAATTGAAATGAAAATTTTGTTAAATGATGAGCGTCCAGTTTTCGAACGCCCAAGGCGCATATCACATGCGGACAAGTCTATTGTCGATTCGCAAATCAAAACTTGGCTAGAAGAAAAGATCATACAGCCAAGTACATCGGAGTATGCATCTCCTGTTGTCCTCGTTCCGAAAAAAGATGGTACCAAAAGATTGTGCTGTGACTACAGGCGTTTAAACGAAAAGATCGCGAGGGACAATTTTCCAATGCCCTTAATGGACGATGTGATTGAGAGATTGCAGGGCCAAAGTGTGTTTACTACACTTGATCTCGCAAACGGATTTTCTCATGTTCCAATTGAGCCAAATTCGAGAAAATTTACATCATTTGTAACAAGTGCAGGGCAATATGAATTCCTGTTCGTCCCTTTTGGAATATCGAACTCCCCAGCTGTATTTTCCAGATTCATTCATGCAATTCTTGTAGATCTGGTACAAGATGGTACAGTCGTAACTTATATGGATGATCTTATAATTCCCTCCAAGGATATAGATGAAGGTATCCAAAAGTTAAAGCGCGTACTGGACAGAGCAGCAGAGTTTAACTTGCGTATTAAGTGGAGCAAGTGCCAGTTTGTCATGAAGGAAGTTGACTTTTTAGGGTACGTTATACAGGGAGGTACAATAAGACCATCTGTAAAAAAAAACCAGGCAGTTCAAAATTTTCCTTTACCGCATGACCGAAAGAGTTTGCAGCGTTTTCTCGGATTAACATCGTACTTTAGGCGCTTTGTAGAAGACTATGCGCTGATAGCCAAACCGCTCTCCGATTTGTTACGGAAAGACGTGCAGTTTAAAGTTGATGAAGAACAACTCGTCGCATTCAAGCAATTAAAATCAGCATTAGTTAGCACTCCAGTATTGCGATTATATAATCCGAAAGCTCAGACTGAAGTGCATACGGACGCCTCAATGAATGGTTATGGTGGTGTACTCTTGCAAAAAGAGTTGGACGATCAATTGTTGCATCCAATTCAATATTTAAGTCGAAAAACAAAACCCTCAGAAGAGAAATATCATTCTTATGAGCTTGCGGTGCTGGCTATAGTCGAGGCCTTGAAAAAGTGGCGCGTTTACTTACTTGGCATAAAATTTAAGATTGTGACCGACTGTAACGCTTTCGCTTTGACCATGAAAAAACGTGGAGACATTCCATTGAGAGTCTCGCGTTGGGCACTCTTCCTTCAAGATTTTGACTACAGTATTGAGCATCGAAATGGCAGCAAAATGAGGCATGTTGATGCTTTAAGCCGCGTATCCTGTCTTATGCTTGAAGACTCACTGCAGCACAGATTGCAGCAAGCACAAGCGAGAGATGATTGGGTCCGAGCTGTGCTAACCGTTTTGGATTGTAGCAGATACGAAGATTTTTATGTTAGGCATGGTATTTTATACAAGGATCCCATCAAGGAACTTATAGTTATACCATCGCTGATGGAAGACGAAATCATAAGAATTGCACACAAGCAAGGGCATTTCTCAGCGAAACGAACTCAAGAAGCAATCGAGAAGACATTCTATATTCCGCAGCTATCGTCAAAAGTGCCAAAAATTGTAAAAAGTTGCGTAGAATGCATAATATCTGAGAGCAAATCAGGCAAGAAAGAAGGGTTTTTGGCACCAATTTGACAAAGAAGACAAGCCCTTAGGCACGTACCATGTGGATCATGTCGGTCCAATAGAACAGACAAGTAAAAACTATAACTATATTCTAGTGATAGTCGATGCGTTTTCAAAATTTGTTTGGCTCTATCCAACAAAAAATACCACCGCAGAAGGAGTTGTAGATCGACTAAGACGGCAGGCAGCAGTGTTTGGAAATCCTAAGCGCATAATATCAGATAGGGGTGCAGCTTTCGTTTCAAACTTGTTCAAGGAGTACTGTGAAACAGAAGGTATACAGCATCTTACGATAGCTACAGGAGTTTCAAGAGGAAACGGCCAGGTAGAACGTATCCACAAAATCGTAATACCAATGTTGTCTAAACTATGTCGTGAAAATCCTTGTAGCTGGTATAAGCATATTGATATCGTTCAACAAACAATCAACAGTACGCCGCCAAGAAGCACTAAAGTTTCACCGTTCAGATTGTTGACTGGTGTGGAGATGAAACTTAAAAGAATATCGGGACTTGCAAGAACTATTAGAAGAAGCTGCTATAGAGGAGCTAAGTAACGAAAGAGAAGAAGTTCGTAAAGAAGCGCTGCAAAATATAGCAAAAATACAGCAGGAAAATCGAAAATCTTTTAATAAACATCGCAAAAAAGAGTCCAATTATAAAATAAACGAACTTGTAGCCATTAAGAGAACACAGTATGGTACTGGTTTAAAATTGAAACCTAAATTCTTTGGTCCATATCAAATAGTAAAGATTCAAAACCATGGTAGATATGACGTAGAAAAGGTAGGCGACCACGAAGGTCCAGGGAAAACTACAACTGTAGCAGAATACATGAAAAAATGGGAGCCAAATGCTAATTTAACAGAAGATTCGTCATTCGGGTCGAATGAAGAGTCAGTATGGCCGAGTGTAGGAGTTGGAAACAGAACTAGGAGTGGTCGAACTTACAATCAGTTAAATTAAACAGGCGAGTATAATGTTGGCATTATACTCATTTGGTAATATAAAATCACTTACCATATGCAACCCTGCTATGGATATTAAATCCACGATAGATTTATCGATAAAAATACAAGAAGGAGAAGCTCAGTTTTAAGCTAGAAGAGTCAATGTGAAGATGTGTTCGCTGTTGCTCGTTGTCTTTTGAAATACATACATATTGGAAAATGTAAAATAATTATAAGTTTACGATTATTCACCAATTTCTTTAAATAAAATAATAAGAACATAAAGAACTCAAGTGCTTGTGAAATCCATCGAATGGCCGTCCCTACATATCTAGTATAAATTTCGTTACTTTTATAATAACATTGATCCTTCGTTTTCCTATTTATTTTATAATAATATGTATATAAATAAAATAAAATAATATAAATAATAATATAATATAGTAAATTAAGATTATTTTTAATTTTTACTTAGCTGTAGGCTAAATAAAATAAAATAAATAAAATACCTCCGTCGTATAGGTGATGCTATTAGAATTATGTGTATTCTAATTTAGGCTTTTTTCCATTGTATAAATTTATTAGGGCTGATGCGGCGTATACAACGTATCTGAATGGTTTCTCCTAAGACCGGTTGTGTCCCCTCTGCAATCGCTAAAGCAGCATCGTATTACACGTTGACCTTATTTATCTTCAAAGTGACACCACCTAGTTGTAGAATTATAAAAGCGGATTGCTTCCTTGTCAGAGCATACTTAGCTCTTGTTCTATGATATGGAAAGGTCGCTTGTCGCTTTGAGCGAAATCGAGCCTACTTATATTTTTTTCGAATCGCTCATATGAGTGTTAAATGACCCAATTAGCTGCGCCCTTGATTTTGCTTCCGAGTATATTCTCATCTGTTCTGTCAAATCATTTGTCTGGCGACTAACTTTTTCTTCAATATTTCAATCTCTCTGAACATTCTGCGTCACCTGCTACTGCACTAGATACTGTAGCCTCGAGTATCGCACGTTACTCCTCTCTGATTATGTCCAGAATTTTTTTAAGGACGTTTTTTCAGTAGTGACATGTAATTTCCGTCCAATTTGACAATCATTCACAAATTCGGTAGTCGGCAAAAGTAATAGAATTATGCATAAATAAAGAAATTTTTTTATTATTTATTAATTTTATTTATTTCCCTATACCCTCTGATAAAAAGGCGATCCAACTATCTCTTGGAGCCTGGACTTATATTAAAAACAATTTAGAGGCTCTAGTCGGGAGTTCCCAACCAGGGGATCCCCTGAATCCTCTTCTACCAACACCAAATGCAGCTCGGGCTACGAGTCCGTTTGCCTTATCAGTAATAAAAATATTACAAAAAAAAAAGAAGAAACTCGCAACAGACCGCACTACTTGCAACCGCGTCTGTTCAACAACCACACGAATAACTTTGTCTTAATGAGAAAATAACGCATTAAAATAGCAGCACAGAAAACAATAGAATCGCAATTGCAATATTGAAGATAGAATTCAAAGATGGCGCGCGTGAATGTGAATGGTGGACAGCATAAATTGGCTTACTTATTTGATTTATAGCTATGTGTTGGTAGCGGTCAGGTGGCGATAGCTATAAAATGAAAGATACTTGATATATTGTATATATATATATATATACAATTCTAGAAGCTTCATGTCGAGTTTGGTGACTCTAGCTCTTATAACGTACGAGATTTGCTCAAAATACAGGATTTTGATATCGATTTTTATCAATTACTTGGAAACGGGGCAAGTTATCAATTATTGGAAACAAACTGATGCTACGCAGGTACTAGGAGGACCTACATTCCAAGGACCTACATTTCAAGTCTCTGGCTTAGAGATCCTTTCGTTTATACATAAGGACATACGGACGGACAGACAGATGGACGATGCTAGATCGACTTGGCTATTGATGCTGATCAAGAATGTATTTACTTTATGGGGTCGGAGAGGCTTCCTTCTGCGACAACATTCATTTACGCAAATACATTATACACCTTTCACCTATTTTAAATGGGTTCAAGGTATAATACAATTTTAATTAGTGTAATAATAAACTCTTAATTCGTTTAGTTAAGCTTCAGTTGCTTATTTGCCGTAGCATACATTTTTTCGACTTACCTGAGAGGAAGCACATGTCATCGTTTGTTGTTGGGAATAATTGACCTAGTGCGATTCCAAGGTATGCTGATAGAAGACTGCTTACCAAACAAATCAAAATCTTTCCCGGAAGGTTGCGCAGTTTTTCGATTGAAGTATAGACCAAAAGGGTTATTGCATAAAAACAGCAGGATATCAAAAGTCCAACTGGATACATCTTAAATCGTATGCGATCATTGTTCACTACTTTAGAATCAAAACACAGAAATGTGTACAACTGTTCTGAAAAAAAATTTTTTTATTAACGCTTTATAATCACAATATATTGCTCTAATTAAGACCGTTCAACTAGATACTAGGTACCTGACACGAATCGGTATCAAAATTTGTTCAAACTAAAATACGGATACACACTTAAAGACAAACAAAAAAAACAGTAGATCTAGCAACTGTCGCGCGTAGCAGCAGTTGCAATCGGAATTTTAAAATTTAGACAACGACAACAATTGAAGAGTTGAAAATGTGCCTGAGTACCTATTATTCTTCTAGAACAAAGTTTAGTAATTTATTTACCATTGGTTATGTTAATAATCAAATTGTTTGCTTTAAATACTTTAAAGCGTTAATTTATTGATTTTAATAATTCGAATTTCGAAATTTGAATAGTTTTATTTGGATAAATGTATTTTTAGTTGGCTGTACCAAAACGGAATATTAGAAACTACAGCTCAGGAACCGTTTTATCTACAAACGAGGTCGGGGTTGCTCCTCGGCAAGTGACATTTATCAGTAGATTTCAGTGGTTTTACTAAGAAGAATTCACATCTACTATGGGCTATCTAATACGGGCTACAAAATCTGGAAAAATCTCCGGATTTGGGTCTCCTTTCGTGCCTGGAAATAATTCCTCGGACAATGCTCGCAGGGTAAATCAGGCACGATGTGCGCTGGGGTTAGTAAAGAGTATCGATAGGATTTGCCCCAAGTGCGGATTATCTCCGGGGTGTCACTTAGTGAGAGAATGAAGGAAGATTTTAATTAGTCAATGTTTAAATTAACTTCTAGTCGGCTGCCAGTCAGCTGTAAATGATTTCATCACTAACTTAACAGTGTTATGAAATAGGAGAAGAGTCACTTTTTGAGAAGAGTTGATAAAAGACGGATGTGTGTGAATGTGCTACGGTACTAAGTAGTGAAACTAAAAAATGGTACAGATAAAAATAAAAGACTATTACAATCTCAGAAGTGGGATATTAACCTGGATATGGAATAAATAAAGATAAGGGATGAGACAGGGCCCACGTTAAAAAAATGGCTGGCAATTTGGGGTCTCTCCACAACAGGCTCAAAAGCTAAGCTAGTGGCGCGTCTAAATGCGGTGCCAGCAAACGACAGGGGCAGTGCCCCCAGGATCGATGAAACTGACAATTAGGAGGAGCCAACCGAAAGTCAGGTATCGCAGAGAAATATTTTGCGGATGCAGCAGAAAGAAATTCTAAAAGGCGCCGAATACTTCAATTTCGTTTCAGGAAAAAAAGACATAATAAGTTTCAGTGTGTATATGCGTTAAATAAACACCTTGTATTCAAATAAACAGTATGCGGTTTGATTACAATAACAGTTATACACAAAACAGCCCAGAGCCACTTGAATGTATTGGCCCTGGCTCATATTACGCATCGCGATTCACTAGCCCTCTAGTGACCGTCTGGAGCGCATTTCATGAGCAACATACATATGCTCACTAACACAGGCATATGCAAGCTACACACTCTCTCTCTCTCTTACTAGCTGTTAACCGATAACAGCATAAGTATATACATGTATCCATAGGCGAAGCACGAACCTTTAACTTGGAATAAAAACACTCTGAATATGAACACCAAACAGCACTGAAGTGCTCCAGCTTTTTATTTAATACAAAATATCAATATAATATCAACACTTATTACAAAGTAAGCTTAATATTAAAATACGCAACATAATACTATAAAAGATAAGACTCTAAATATAGTGTAAAAGCTAAAATGTACTGCTAAATTTTAATGTAGTAGGTATAAGCATATTATAAGCGAAATGTAAAGCTGAGTCCTCCATATCTCATGGTCAGGATGGCCGAATTGTAACAGGCTGGTACATCCAGTACTGTGTAAAGGTCTAGTCTGCTGCTAGTTAGCTGTTAATGATCTTAGCTATTTACTCATCACTGGCTTCACAGTGTTGAGAAAAAGGAGAAGAGTCACTTATTGAGCAGATTTGATAATAGACGGACGTGTGTGAATGTGCTCTGGTACTAAGTTGTGAAATTAATAAAAATACAGATTAAAATAAAACACTATTACTCTTCTTTTATTACCTATTCTATTATAATGAGAATCGCTGACCTTAACTATTCTTAACCTAACATTTCTAGTGCCCGCACCTTGGCGCTGCTTAACGGATAATTACTCCAACATCTCTAAACAAAACACGTCTGCAACATCCGATTATCTACAGCTAAGATGGCGCAATTTCGTCACGCTTCGACCCATCGATCTGCCCATTTACCAGGCCCCAACGACTCGTGATGAGAATATCTTCTGTCACTTAAGCTCAAATACTCCTCCAGTTAAACTTATGCGCACTTTGTATGGCCTCTATTAACTTGGATTCTTAGTAATCACTGTGACCCCGCGTCTCAAAACATATTGGTATAATTTAATTTGTTAATGAATAATCTTATACTCTAATTAAAACATCTTACTCTCAGTATATCCTTGAAAATGAGTACAAAAATGGTCATATGGTCTTGCAACTAAATGTCACAAGTACAAGGAAGCATCTCTTTTTTTTTGGTCAGTACGGCTATCTAAGAATGTATATATTTCTGTCCCCCTGTATGAACATGTCGATCTCAAAAACTATGTGAGCTATGACTTTAACTTATATAAGTATAAGTTATTATTTATGTCATGTGCCATCTGGATCGGTCCCTTTCTTCTTAAAAACTTATTTACCAATATTAACGTTGAGAATTTTGAATCCGCGGTACCTCGGTAGTGGTATTGGCATTTCGTATGACCGCTTACAGATTAAGGTGACCCAGTGGCATCCTTTGTCATACTGTCATCCACCATATTCAGGGATCAGAAGTACAGGTCAAGTGCTCTACTATTCAAGGGCACCCAACACGAGTTGTTGGGTTCGTAGCCTTCGCCAGTACATCGTACTCACCACCACATCGATACCATTGCCGTCGAACGTATTTCTTCCACAAACGGCAGTTATATAGCCATCTTCAAAATTCGACTTTCTTTTAGAAAGCTAACTAACTAACATTTGTGGGGTGTTTTTAGGTCACTTCTTTAGCATCGATATCATCTAATATTACCGGGCTTATCAAGTTTATTTTGGCTATTGGTTTGTCTGAATTTAACTTTTTGAAAATTTGTAATAATCATTCTTATTGTTTGCCAAAAGGCGTTTTAACTAGTTTTCTGTTGTGGTCCCGTCGCTTTTGCTGATTGTACTTAAGATCCTTATCATTTCGTTTAGTCAAGTCTGTATCGTCCCAAAGAGTCATGTCGGAGTAGGTGTATTTTGTAAGTTTCATTGCCACGGTCGTAAACGACTACAAGAGTACTGTTTCGCCCAGAATTTGTTTTTATACCCGAACCTATTGAGAATGAGTATAAGGGTATAATGGTTTTGTGCATATGTATGTAACAGGCAGAGGGATGCAACCCCATTTGGCATTTTGCTTCTATTTTCTGTCTCCTATTTATACCTATATGTCAAGTAAAAAAATCAATTGGAAGTACCCACCAATTACCACTTACAAATATTTTATTGCACAATTAAATGAACAGCTAAAAAAATCAATTTTTTTGATGCTAAGGTAGGTACCTATAGAATATTTCTAGTTTCTAGACTGCTCCTATTTGGAAAGATATAGGCTTCACGTTTTCGGTGAGGTCTGATGTGTTCAAACGTTACTATTTCTCCCTCTCTCTCTCTCTCTCTCCCTCTCTCTCTCTCTCTCCCAACTTAAAGGATATAGGTCTTTCACGTGACGGTACGTCAGCGACAGAATATTTTTGCCTGGCTTCCAAATCATGTTGGCAATATGCTTGCCAAAATATGCTTTCAAGAACTTAATTGTCAACCTTTTCGTTGTCATCATTCCCGCGTCAAGCTATAGCGGCGTTATTTCTTCTGAAACACCTATAACAGCTGGACAATCCCAAAAGTGATCTAAGGTCGGACAAATTTTTTAAAGTTTGTGGTTTAAAGATTTTTACTTCCCGAACCTTTTCTGAAAAAGTTTTATACTTATCCCCAGGTCCTATCGGCTTTTTTGAAAAAAATAGATTTTTCTTCAAATAGATTTTTCAGGACCAATGAGCTTGACATGGACTGCTTTTCTTCAGAAAATATTATTACTTCATCATTGATATCACATGTTTTTCCAATTTATTCTTTGAGTACATCGTCTGAGCGTTTACTTGCATTCGAAGTGCGAGACCTACTATAGCATCAAGGTCACTTAAAGGTGGCAGAAAAAAGAAGTAAGACATTACCCATTTCTTGTACCCCAGTGAATTGATTTGACTTTAAATGGTTTCATAACCGTTACTGGATGTTCTATTTCGGACAATGTTTTTCTATACATTTTTGAAGTTCCTATCAGTTGAATAGTCTTTCCCATAAAAGTTTTTCTCTTATCCCATAAAAGTTACAGGGACTAATCGACGGATAACTCATCTTTGAATGCTGCAGCAGTTTCTTATGTGACAGAATGATAATCTTGATCATAGTTAGGCTGCTCTTTGGTATAAAAATGAGCCCTTTGTCGGGTTTTTGCGACTTTGTGAGACTTCAATCCCGAGTTGGCTGGAAATTCTTCGTTTGTCGAAAGCGTGAGATTGATGGGCCTTGGTAGGCGCACATTTCAAATTTCCCTTTCATGCAATGGCCGTTGAGCAGCCGTAATTTAGAGTCAGCAGTTCAGAGTCAATGTCTTCTACGCCTCCGGTTGCCTAGTCGGACTGGATGGTGATAACTTATTTTGAAATATATACATGTGTAGGTATATTCAAATATATCACGCAGATGCCATATTACTGAAACATGCAACAGTAAGATCTTCGACAGTGCGATCGGTCTCTCGAAGGCCATTGGGATAAGGCTTTTGTGTATTTCCTCGACTTTTTATTGCCTTCAGAATTTGATAACTGCTGGTAATTGAAATGCCATCTATTTGTGGCGATAGTCGATAAGGTTGAATCGGCGTTGGTTCTAAA